TGTGGAGAAAAATAGAAAAATCTTGTTTATTGGGGTGATTGTTCTCAGAATGAAAGTGTAGTATGTAAAATGCAGTTTGTTAAACACGGTACATCTCTAGCCTAAAACCACCTACTGTCCTGTGACTTGCATGGGCCTTGGAAATCAAGGTCTCCTTCCTAAGTTAAAAGTGGCGGCCAGGAAAGAACAACCATTCTGTTTCAAATTGTGTGCAGTTCATACTGAAAACTCATTAATAGTCTTTGGTTATTTTGCAAAGGAAATGTCAGCGAGTATTTTTAACCGTACTTTGATTAAAGGAACTTCTGTCTGTTATATACACATGTATATTTGTGTGAGCATTTAGGGACTGACCAGTGAGGTAGTTCTTACATGTTGTATTAGTGCTGAAGAAGTCAGACAAATTTTGGTTAAAAAAGTAATCCTTCCTGTAAGCTGGAAATATGCAAATGTTTTGAACATAAACCTCAACATGTACTTAAAAGGGAAACCGATGAAAGCATCAGAAATACTGACTGTTCTGCCCTTTTCCATGCTACGCAGAGAGTTGCCCATGTGCCTCTCGCACGACCCCTACCAGGGCTGGGGACAAACCTCAACCGAGGTACATGCCCTTGATTGGAATCGAACCTGCAACTCATTGGTCCACCGGTCGAAGCTCTAACCGCAGAGCCAGGGATGAGCTTAGTTCTTAATTGAGACATTTGTATAAGTATTATTTTAACATTTTAAATATGTACTAGAAGAAATCTTACTTGCTTATTATCCACATATAAAAATAAATCTATGTACCTGGCTGGTGTGGCTCAGTGGCTGAGCATCAACCCATGTACCAAGAGGCTGCCGGTTAGGTTGCTGGTTCAATTCCCAGTAGGGGCACATGCCCAGGTTGTGGGCCAATCCCTAATAGAAGATGTGCAGGAAGCGGCCAATCGATGTTTCCTCTTATTGATGTTTCTTTCTCTCTCTCTGCCTTTCCCTTTCTCTCTCTCTAAAATCAATAAAGAAAAAAATAAATAAATAAAAATAAACCTTTGTGCCTTCACAGTGATAGGAAAAACCCAAGAATAAGGGACTACTTAATGAGAATTTTAAAAGGAAAACAAACATAATTACATTGCATATGAGTTGAAGGAGCAAAATGACAAAAAGAAGAAAATGTTCCTGAAAAATAGTCAAATAGTTACTTAGGATTTTTCCTGTTCTTTGCAAAGCATTTATTTTCATTGTGGGAATGGGGGGGGGGGAGGTGAAGGTATGACTCCTGCTGAGAAGAGGCCTGATCCAGCCCAAGCGGCTTCCTAGGCCTTGGGGGCTCACATCTGTGGTAGAATCTCAACAAGTTGATAAATGAAGCTTTTTTTCTGTCCTCAAAAGCTAGACAGGCCCTGGCCGGTTTGACTCAGTGGTTAGAGTGTTGGCCCGCGGTCCAGAGAGTCCCGGGTTTGGTTTCTGCTAGGGACACGTGCCTGAGTTGCAGTTTGTCCCCGTCCCCAGCTGGGGTTGTGTGGGTGGCAACCACTCAATGTGTTGCTCTCACATCGATGTTTCTCTCTTTCTCTCTCTCGCTCTCACTCTATCTTAAGATGAATGCAAAAAGTGTCCTTGGGTGAGGATAAAAAAAAAGCTAGTTGGGGCATGGGAAGACCCTGGGGCATTAGAATACATGAATTTAACAGGGTAGGTTCAATTCACTGGACCTAATTTTTTCGTATGCTCTGGGGTCTTTCATTCATTTTGAAAGGCCCAGGAGATCTCCAGCTTTTTATCCAGGTTCATGGCTGTGGAGACTGTGCTCACCCTTTCTTTGACTGAAGACCTGGAATCCTTTGTCATATTATGAGGTTGTCATACTCACGTTCCTGTTTGTCCATCTTCTCATCACCTTTATCAATATACTTCACTACCTCTTTAGATATTTCTGCACAGTTTCTTTAGAATATGCCAGCTTGGAGGCTTATTTTTGGTACTGATTTCACTGTGGGTCTCAGTTTCCTGATAGATATATTTCCTGCTGGTTGCATTTCTTCAAAATATTTGACCTCAAGTTCATTGTCTTTAGCCTCATCGCCAGATTTCTCTTTACCCTCAGCATCACTCTAGGTCTTTTCATTCTTCACTTTTCTTGCTCTCTCCAGCCTGTTCTGTAGTTTTGTTTTGTTTTAAATTTTTTTTTTGTTATTGATATTAGAGAGAGAAGAAGGGAGAGGGAGACAGAGATGGAAACCTGGGTGAGAGAGAACATCGCTTGGCCGCCTCCTGCACGCCCCCCATTGGGGATTGAGCCCACAACCTGGGCACGTGCCCTGACTAGGAATTGAACCGGCGACCTCTTGGTGCATGGGTTGATGGTCAACCAGTGAGCCACACCGGCCAGACTGTTCTGTAGTTTTGTGTGGGAAAGTCACTGTCCTTCTTTCTCTGACTTCCAGCTTCCTTCTGAGCAGTGTTTCTGCTTCCTGTCTGTGCTGCTGGAGCTCAGCAAGGCTGGAGCCTGGCCCTCTGGCTCCTGAAGCTCCCTGCTGTCGTCTGTGTCTCTAGGTCTCCTGTGACAGGCCTGCATTTATTTACTTTATCATTTCTCTCATTTTCCTTTGCTTTTATTTTCTCTGAGTACTTCTTCTTACCCTCCGCCCCCTTTCAGAGCAAAGCTTCATTTCTCTGCTGAAACTTGAGCAGCCTCCTCCTCATGCATGACCCTTAATGTGGTTCTTTACCTGACCCCCGCCCTGGAGCCCGGTGGAGTTTCTTCTTGTAGCTGGAGCTGGCATGGGGCATGCTTTCTGGGTGAGCCTTCTTCCTGTCTCACGTAGTCATGTCTTCCTTGTGGGTCCTAGCAGCTCTTGCTGAGTCCAGGAGACGTTGAACAGGAGGTGTTTTTTATTTTTATTTTTATAATGAATGTCAGAGAGGATGGCTTTTGTTTTAGTATCATGGGTGAAGGTAGTGGTTTCTTTATATTTGCTGACAGTGCTGGGAGTTGGTGGGTGCCACTCTTTCAGGGGCACTTTGGTGACAGGTGCACTTTGTCACAGGTGCACTTTGTCACAGGTGCCAAGGCCAGCTGTCTGTACATGTTTGTTGTTGTTGTTGTTGTTTTTTATCCTCACCCGAGGACATTTTTCCAGTTTTTGTTCAGATAGAGCGGGAGGGAGAGAGAGGAAGAGAGAGAGAGAGAAACATCGACATGAAGGGACACATCGAGTGGCTGCCACCCGCACGACCAACCAGGGCCGGGGACAAACTGCAACCGAAGTACATGCCCTTAGCGGGAACCGAACCCGGGTCTCTCTGTACTGCAGGCCGACGCTCCAACCGCTGAGCCAAACCGGCCAGGGCTGTCTGTACAAGTTTTATACATGGTCTGATGTAGGGTCCCACTTCACCCTTTTGTATGTGGTAAGTAGCTGTTCTGGCACCATTTGTGGAAAAGTCTCATCTTTCCTCTTTCTGTGCTTTTGGGACCATCATAAAAAATAAGTTGACTATAGATGTATGGATTAATATTTGGGCTTTTATTCTGTTTCACTGATCTAAATGTCTGTTCTTATGGCAGCACCACACTGTCTTGATGACTGCCTTGTAAGTTTTGAAATTGGAAAATGGAAGCCTTCCAATTTATTTTTATTTCTCAAGATTCTTTTGGCTGTGCTGCAAGTCTTTAGTTTTCATATTGAGTTTTATTAGCAGCTGGTCAGTTTATATAAGGAAATCAGCTGGGATTCTGATAGAGATTGTGTTGAAACTGAAGATCAATTTGGGGAACATCTATCAGATGTGCATTTCTTTCTTTATTGATTTTAGAGAGAGGAAGGGAGAGGGAGAGAGAGAAAGAAACATCGATGAGAGGGAACATCGATTGGTTGCCTCCTGCATGACCCACACTGAAGATTTGGCCCACAACCTGGACATGTGCTCTGACCGGAATCGAACTGGTGACCTCTTGGTGCATGGGTTGATGCTCATCCACTGAGCCACACTGGCCGGGCTATTGGACGTGCATTTAAAGAAAGGAGATAGGGAATTAGAGATTCAGCCAGCATCTAGAGTCACTGACAGAATGTGGGAAGATAGGAAAAGAAAAAGGGAGAACATGCATTTTTGAAACAATATGTGTAGTCATGCGGATCACCGGGTGAAATGTCCAGTAGGCCAGTGGAAGCTGCGGTAAGGGGGGAGAAGAGAAGAACGACCTGTGAGAGCAGCCTGAGAGCAGTGAGGGCTGGTGAGGTCGCTGACGGGGACACAGAGACGCTGAGGCCTGAGCACCTCGGGTCCAGACGAGAGGGCAGGAGGAGGAGAGAAACCAGGGAATGCGGGGCCAGAGGTCAGAGGGGGGAGTCAGTCAAGGCTGGTGCTGGGGAAGCCTGTGGAGAGGAAGTGGTCAGAAGTACAGCTCCCGTAGGAGAGGGTGAAGAGAGCCAGGGCTGGGAGAAGTTTCCAGTTTGATCAGGGACCTTGTACTGCACCCTCCGTGGAGAATTCACACCACACTTAGGATAACGCCTGTGTGGGCGAGGGATGAGAAACTGTGCGTGGAGCTGCCTGGCCCTCTTGAATGCACTCAGTGGATACAGACCTGATTGGCGCCAAGGGCAGGGCTTGTCCACTCATAGATTTCTTTCCTCCCTCAGCTCGTCGTGCTTCCCCACTGCCTGCCCTTCCCCAGGTGGGGAACACAGGAGACCAAGGAGTGGCAACTGTGCTTCGGATAGTCAGGCCCCAGGTGAGCTTGTTTTTTCTGTCTTTCCCGAGTTCCTGAGTCCAGGGCCCAGGAATAGCTAGAACTCATCTCCGGGGCACTGACCTTTCTGAGACTGCTCCTGTGGCGTCCGCGTTCTTGCTTCCCCCGAAGCTGGGTGCCGCCTGCCGAGTTCGTGGCCTCTCTCTTGCCCTGGACTTGTCCTTTAAGATGTCATCCCAGCTTCTCCCTCCTCCAGCCCTGTGCCCACCAGGGCCCTCACCCTGTGCTCTTGGTGTTCCTGATGACTGCCCTTCAGGGTGGGAGTGTGTCTGAGCAGTAGACGCTTGTCGTTGCAGGGCTCTGCAGTGTACAGGTGCCTGTCTGTGGACTGCACTGAGGAGTGGAACGGTCCAGCCCTGAGTCAGAGAGCCCTGTACCGCCGCTCCATGCCGGAAACTTACCGCAGCGTGGCCTCCCTGGGTAATGATTCTTGCCCTGCTAACTTAGCGTCTGCATCCTTCACGTTGTCTTTGCCGTATGCTTTTTCTTTTTTAACTTTTTATTATGAAAAATTACAACATAGACAAAGCAGAACTGTACAATGAACCTCTCTGTGCCCCTCACCAGCTATAACAGTTATCACCATTGTCTGTACTTCATAAGGGGTTGAGCGGGGGTGGTATTTTTAGAGTTCATATTTGTAAGGAACAGAGAGCTACTCAAGTTATTGTCAGTAATGAGCTGTGTTACTTACAATAAGGCTGAAGGAATGGGAAAGCTGTACAAACTGACTGGCTAGACCAGCCTTCAGGAAGCAGGGCCTCATTGAGACTGAGGAGCCTGGGAGCCTCAACAACTAAAATAAATACATTTTGCCCTGGCTGGTTTGGTTCAGTGGTTAGAGTGTTGGTCCAAGGACCATAGAGTTGTGGGTTTGATTCTGGGGCATGTACCCCACTTGGGGGTTGGATGCTCTGCCCTGGTTGGGGTCGTGAGGGAGGCATCCAGTTGATGTGTCTCTCTCACATCAACATTTCTTTCTCCCTCCTTTTCTCCCTCTCATTCTCTTTTAATTAAAAAAAAAAAAATCAATGGAAAAATATCCTTGGGTGAGTGAGGATTAACTAACTAACTAACTAACTAACCAAATAAATAAATAAATAAATAAATAAATTTTTGTGCTCGCATTGTACTGGGAATGTAACTTAGCTACTTCTTGAATATCTGTGTTCTCTTTCCACTGTTTAGGGTTCGTCATGGGCTGAGCTGGGTTCCTTGGCACAAAGCATAGTTGCTTCAGCTACCCTCTGAGTAAAAACTGGGGCTAACTTATTCCATGAGGAAGGCCTATTCCACTGCAGCCGTCTCCATGGCCAAGTCATACGTGGCCCCTCGGACAGAGACGGCCAAAATGTATGCTGTCGACACAAGGGTATAGAGTCCTGCATATCCGTCTGTGGTTATATGTTATTTATCTAATCAATCGATAAGTTCAAGTGAATAAAATAGATAAACTGAGGAACAGTTATTTAAACTTAAAAAAAAAAACAAAAAAACTGGGGCTAAGCCCAGCCAATGTGGCTCAGTGGTTGAGCGTTGACCCATGCATCAAGAGGTCGCTGGTTCAATTCCTGGTCAGGGCACATGCCCAGGTTGTGGGCCCCATCCCCCGTGCATGGCATGCAGGAGGCGGCCAATCAATATTCTCTCTCATTGATGTTTCTCTCTCTCTCTGTCTTCCTCTCTCTCTAAAAATCCAATAAAGAAATAAAGATAACAAAAACAAAAGAACTAGGGCTTGGCAGTTTTCTGGAAGGGGATGTTGTGGGTTAGGTTCTTTGATTGACAAGTCTAGGGAGTGTCAACTCTGGTGAGGTGGGCTTAGGAATCACTTTGATTTCAGTCAGGGGACCAGATATTTTTAACTTCTCATATGCTAAAGCAGGAAGATTGTAGTCCTAAGATGAAATGAACCAAAATTTCTCGTTCTTAGATGATTGTGATGCTCTGCCTTCTACCAGCTTTTGTATTAAAATATTCTTGAATTCAAAAGCAAATACTCATCTGTTCAGTTTCTTTATGATTCCAGATTATCAAGATGTCAAAGACATATTTTCATTTATATTTCAAATTATTGCGGCCTTCTTAATTTTTTTTTTTTTTTGGATAGAGCGGGAAGGAGAGAGGGGGGAAGAGAGAGAGAGAAACATCAATGTGAGATAGACACATTGAGTGGCTGCCACCCACACAACCCCAACCGGGGCCAGGGACAAACTGCAACCGAGGTACATGCCCTTAGCGGGAACCGGACCTGGGACACTCTGTTCCACGGGCTGATGCTCTAACTGCTGAGCCAAACTGGCCAGGGCATGCTTTCTTAACTTTTATAGGTGTGCAGTACTAGCTCTCACCAGCCTAGTGCTCCAGGGTCTACAGGATGCCCACTCCTAGACCTCTGTTCTCCCCTTCAGTACTTCTCAACCCATGGCTTCTTCAAAGCTTGTCACTGCCCTGTCGTGACAAAATTGCTTCTTTTTTATACTTTTTTCTAATCACACCCTCATAATGTAAATCTCCCTCAACTATCATGATTGCCCACACTGTTTCTCATATTTGATCTGAGGTATTTGCCCTCACTTTCTCTCCCAAACATCTTTGCTGAGAATCATGGAACCATACAATGTCATGGTTGGAAAAGATCTTAGAGTTTATTGTTTACTAAGGACACAAAGCATCAGGGTGACTTCTGGAAGGTCAAACATACTTTACATCTGGTCTCTTACCTTTCAGTTGCCCTGCTGACTTGACTGTGCTGACTCAGCATTCCTCTGTCCTGATGGATCCTCCTCCACTGACCTTCTTCCTGCTCTTTGTCTTTCTGTCCATGAAGAAAAATTTGAGCTATTTCTGACTTCCTCTCTTCATTCCTTACCCATAATGTGAAGGCTTTTTTAGGTACAGAGACTTCTGATGATTCTGTTTCCTTAATAGAACAAGAAATGAATCAGAGCTTTTTCTTCTTTCTTTTGGCATCAGGTGAGACTCGGATGGAGAATTCAGAGTTGTCTCCAAGGCAAGAGATTTCCAAAGGATCAGAGTCATCTGATGGGACATCAGGAGGCCTCTGTGGGGTGGTTCCTGGGGGACCAGAAGCTGGAAATGCTTTAGGAAAGCTAGAAGCACATCCCTCAGAGGAGGAAGGGAGCAGACTGGAAAGTGATTTCCTGGAAATAAGACATGAAGATAAAAAAAAATCCGCAAAAGATGGATATGATGAGTATAAGGACCTTGGGGAACATCCGAATCTATCTTCCAGTCCTGTAGAACATCAGGTTCTGAAGGTACAGAAATTCTATCAATGTGATGAATGTGGCAAAGCTTTCAATTGGAGTTCACACCTCATTGGCCATCAGAGAATCCACACTGGGGAGAAACCCTATGAGTGTAATGAGTGTGGCAAGGCCTTCAGGCAGACCTCTCAGCTCATAGTTCATCTCAGAACCCACACGGGGGAAAAGCCCTATGAATGCAGCAAGTGTGGGAAGACCTATCGGCATAGCTCCCATCTCATTCAACACCAGAGACTCCATAATGGGGAGAAACCATATAAATGTAATGAATGTGGAAAAGCTTTCAATGAGAGTTACAAACTCTATGATCACCAGAGGACCCATACTGGGGAGAAACCTTATGAATGCAATGAGTGTGGGGCAGCCTTTACTCGGAATAAAAATCTTCTCCGACACCAGGTACTTCACACTGGTAAGAAACCCTACAAGTGTAACGAGTGTGGGAAAGCTTTCTGTTCTAGTAGAAATCTTATTGACCATCAGAGAATTCACTCTGGGGAGAAGCCTTATGAGTGCAATGAGTGTGGCAAGGCCTTCAGTCGGAATAAAAGTCTTATTCGACACCAGCGACTCCACACTGGGGAAAAACCGTACAAATGCAGGGAATGTGGGAAAGCCTTCAATCAGAACTCTCATCTTGCTGACCATGAGCGAATTCATACTGGAGAAAAACCTTTTGAATGTAATGAATGTGGTAAGGCATTCAGCCTGAGTAAATGTCTTATTCGACATCAGAGACTTCACACAGGTGAGAAGCCCTATAAATGCAATGAATGTGGAAAATCCTTCAATCAAAACTCATACCTCATTATACACCAGAGAATTCACACTGGAGAGAAACCTTATGAATGTAATGAGTGTGGGAAGGTCTTTAGTCATAATTCTAGCCTTATGGTACATCAGAGAACCCACACTGGGGAGAAACCCTATAAATGCAACGATTGTGGGAAAGCCTTTAGTGACAGCTCACAGCTCACTGTGCACCAGAGAGTTCACACTGGTGAGAAGCCCTATGAATGTACTGAGTGTGGGAAAGCCTTCAGTCAGCGTTCCACTTTCAATCACCACCAACGAATTCACACTGGAGAGAAGCACTCAGGCCTGGCTAAGTCCGTTTTATAAGGTGTAAGTTTCTAAGACAGACAATAGGAACGTTAGCTTTCTTTATAAGAAGGATATTTGTCGTTATCTTTTCTTGGAACCACTAATCAAAGTGGGCCATTCCCTAGCTGGGTTATGAAGGTGGGAAGGGGGAGGAAAAGTGTGGTCCTTCTCCACTATTGTGGAAGTGGGGACTACACATTTCATGTACTTGTAGGTTTCATTTTTCCTTTCTCTCTTTTTTTCTTTTTAAAAATTTATCTCATTTCTTTGTTATGTATCCTATAATCAGATTGTGTACTTCTCTGGGACAGAGGTTATATGTATCTTTCTTGTTCTACTTCACCTTTTTTTTTTCCTTTATTGATTTTTAGAGAGGAAGGGAGAGGGATACTTCACCTTCTTAACTTCACAATTTACAAAAAGTCATTCTCCAAAGCTGATTCACTCTTCTCTCTCTCGCCTCGGAATTTTCATGAGTTTGAGCCACACTGACAACATCATGGAAGTAAGATCTCCAGTGCTCCCCTCTTTTTTCTCTTTGCTATGGCCCCTTTAAAGCTTTATTTTATTCTGGATCCTCATCGCTCGTTCACTATCTGGAGAACCTTTTCTTCTTCCTATTTGCTTGTCTCCATCCCCCTGAACTTTTAAGATCCAGCTCATCTGTGAAAGACTTTCTTCTTCAAACATGTCTTCCTCCCAAACTATTGATTTGACCTCAGTACTTTCAACTGGTTTGTGCTATAATTTGCAATTGTGAAATTGCATTGTCAATTGTTCTCCACTTAATGAGTATGTGTATACTTCCATACCAACTTAATGTGGGCTTTTTGAAGTTGGGTATGCTGTTTCTTTTAGCATATAGATAATTGCATATACTAGTTGTTAAATAAATGATTTTTAAAATCTCAGTTCTCCATTTGAACCATTCTTTTTTTTTTTTAATCCTCACCCAAGGACATTTTTTGCATCTATCCTAAGATAGAGTGGGAGGGAGAGAGGGGGGAAGAGAGAGAAACATCAATGTAAGAGAGACATATCAACTGGTTGCCACCCACATAACCCCAACCGGGGCTGGGGACAAACTGCAACCAAGGTACATGCCCCTAGCAGGAACTAAACTCAGGATTCTGGTCTGCGGGCCAGTGCTCCAACCGCTGAGCCAAACAGGCGAGGGCCATTTGAACCATTCTTTTTGTTTGTTTGTTTGTTTTTTTATCCTCACCCGAGGACATTTTTCCATTTTTTTTTTTTTTTTTTTATCCTCACCCGAGGACATCTTTCGATATTTTGTTCAGATAGAGTGAGAGGGAGAGAGAGAGAGAGAAGCATCGACGTGAAAGCGACACATCGAGTGGCTGCCACCCACACGACCCAACCAGGGCTGGGGACAAACTGCAACCAAGGTACATGCCCTTAGCAGGAACCGAACCCAGGTCTCTCCAGACCGCAGGCTGACGCTCTAACTGCTGAGCCAAACCGGCCAGGGCCATTTTTCCATTTTTTGTTCAGGTAGAGTGGAAGGGAGAGAGAGGAACAGAGAGAGAGAGAGAAACATCGATGTGAAAGAAACACATCGAGTGGCTGCCACCCGCACAACCGACCAGGGCCGGGGACAAACTGCAACCGAGGTACGCGCCCTTAGCAGGAACCGAACCCGGGTCTCTCAGGACCGCAGGCCGACGCTCTAACTGCTGAACCAAACTGGGCAGGGCCATTTGAACCATTCTTAAACCGAACATGAACTTTCCTCCCACTAGTGGCCCAAAATTTTTTAAAATGGATATCATAGAATATTACATATACAAGCCTCATCATTCAGCTCTGGCCAGTTTTGCTGAGGAGTTAGAGCATTGGCCCTCGGATCAAAGAATCTTGGGTTCGATTCTGGTCAAGGGCATGTACCTTAGTTGTGATTCAATCCCCAGCCCTGGATAGGGTCATGTGCAAGGCAACCGATTGATATGTCTCACATCGATGTTTCTCTTTCCCTCTCCCTCCCTCCCTCCCTCCCTCTTCTCCCCCCTCCCTCCCTCCCCCTCTATCTGAAAATCAATGGTAAAATATCCTTGGGTGAGGATTTTTTTTAAAAGCCTCATTTGCTGGTTCTGCACATGTGTCCTCACAAGGGTGCTGGTGGGGAAAGCAGGACAGAACTGGGCAAGCAAACGGGGCCCCCAGGAGCAGTTCCCAGGGGGAGCTGCCCTGCAGTGACAGTGGAAAGTCAAAATGTCATTGGTCTTCATGACATAATTCTGCCTCCAAACTTCATACTCACTCCCAGGTCATTTGGAGGAAAAGCAATTATACTACTATTCTCATAGCAATAATAGATCCTTGTTATTGAGAACCTGCTAAACAATATAGTATGAAACCTTCAGCAATAACATCTAAAAGAGAACCACTACCATGGAAATCTGTGCAATAAATTCATTTTTTTGTGGCGTTGCATTTCAAAGCTGACACTTGCCTCAAGGTTACTTCTGTTTTAATCTCATATATGAAGAAAAATGGAGATGGAAGCCCTACTTCCTGACTTCGACATGATTCTCATAACTCTGTCCTGCCCTGAATCATGGCAACCGCAGGAGGACCGCTGCTCTGAGTCAGCTGCCCGTCCTGAGCATCACCACCGACGGGCACTTGCGGAATACTGGTGCTTTCCCACTGCCTCTGGAGGGACCCCGTGCCGGACCCACAGCCCTTCATAACCTGGCCCCACACCACCCTGAACTTTGACTCCTTACTGCACCACAGTCATGGTCTTCTGTTCCTGCACTGGTGCCTGCATTGACCCTTTCCAAACATGCTGTGGTCTTTCAACCCTCATGCCTTGTTCCTGCCATTTAGCAAGTTTGGAATTCCCTCCCCACTCACTATCCAGAGTCCTTTGAGTCCCATCCCCTCAACTTCCCACTGCTCTGTCCAAACTCCAGGCAATTCTCAAACTTCCTGGCTTAAGGATCTTTTTAGATACTAAGAGTTTTACATACCAAAGAGTTCTTATTTTGTGGATTATACCTATCAATTTACCATAATATAAGTTTAAAATATTTAGTAATTATTTCCAAAAAACATTATGATATCATAAAAAAACACATGAAAAAATAACTATCTACCAAAATAAAATAATGAGAAGTATGGCAGTGCTCTATTTTTGCAAATCTCTTTAAAAGGCTGGCTTACTAGGAGACAATGAGATTCTCAGATCTGCTGCCTTCAGTCTTCTACGATAGGTTGTTTTGGTTGAAGCATATGAAGAAAATCCAGCCTCATGAAGACTATATTGGGTTCAGGGAGGAGATTTTAATAGTCTTTTCAGACACTTGTGAACATTCCTTTTTCATACTCTCCAAAACTGAAAAAGTAATACTTTCTCAAAAGTTAGCTGCAGTGCGGAATCTGAAACCTTATTAGTAAACTGTGATACTCTGTTATAATAAAGTTCATTGGTCTGTCTTGCAAAAAAAAAAAAAAGCCTCATGTGCCTGGCTGGAGTGTTTCAGCTGGTTGAGTGTTGTCCCATGAACCAAAAGGTCACTCATTTGATTCCCAGTCAGGGCACATACATGCCCGAATTTCAGGCTCAATCCCTGGTAGGGGGCATGCCGGAGGCACTAATTGATGTTCTCTCTCATCGACATTTCTTTTTCTCTCTGTCTCTAAAATTAATAAAGAAAAAGAATTTTTTTTAAACGCTCCTGTTGACTTTTGGACTTGCACACCAGCTGGAGATCTAAAATTAAAATGGACGAGGGAGGTTCCTCCCCGGAAGCAGAAGACATCATGAGGTGGACAACTCTTCCAAGATCACCTATGAAGATCTTCATCTCCAATATGAAACTATTTATTCATTTTGCCTTTTTGCTGCTTGCTTTTTCTCTATGGTAATGCATGAGGAAATAGTACTCTTTAACTCTGACACCTATCACTGAATCTACTGCCAAGGCCATAGCTGCACAACAAAAGTCCCTAGATTTTCTTGCTAAGGTGATTTTAAATAAAGTTGCTTTAAATTACTTATTGGCTGAACAAAGAGGAGTCTGTGCCATAGTACCTCCTGCTGTACCTGGACCTGCCTCTCTGGTGCTATAGTAGATACAAGAAATTAACAAGCCACTTAGCTAAAACAGGTTGACACCTCTTCAGGTACATTCTTTATTTGATATGCACTGGTTTGGTCCATGGGGACCTTGGCGAAGGAGGTACATACTTCAGTCTCTTGGTAATACCCACATAGCCATCAATGTAGTCTCCCTTTGTTCTCTTAAGGGTCTTAAATACATGTTTGCAGACATCAACAGTATATCAAATGGTCTCACTGTGCTTGGAGAAGGAGAAACTAAATGGACCATGAAATGAACAGCAAAAACAACTCTTCCACAAATTCGGTATTATAATCTGCAAATTTCATGAGTTTCACAATGAGGTAAGAATATCTTGCCCTGGCCGGTTTGGCTCAGCGGTTAGAGTGGCGGCCTGCAGTCCAAAGAGACCCGGGTTCAGTTCCTGCTCAGGGCATGTACCTCGGTTGCAGTTTGTCCCTGGCCCTCGTTGGGTTGTGCGGGTGGCAGCCACTCGATGTGTCCCTTTCACATCGATGTTTCTCTCTCTCTGTCTCTGTCTCTCTGTCTCTCTCTCTTCCTCTCTCTCCCACTCTATCTGAACAAAAAATGGGAAAAGTGTCCTCGGGTGAGGATAAAACTAACTAAATAAAAAATATCTTAAATGTGATGGTGACTAAGAGTGATACTAGCCCGGGCCAGTTTGGCTCAGCGGTTGAGTGTCAGCCTACGGACAAGAGAGTCCCAGGTTTGGTTGCCGCTAGGGGCACGTACCACCAAAAAAAAAAAAAAAAAAAGTGATACTAATACCATATTTTTGGTCACTCCATGTATGAGGAGATGACAAAAAGGGGAGAATTGTTAAAGTAATTAAAAAGGCTATTAAGCTGAGGTGATGCTAATACTTTGGTGGCTTACCTAGGCAAACTGAAAGCTAAGCTAAAGTCAGTTCCTGTGAATGCCTCAAGGTTAAGAAAATCAACCAATCACAACAGCCAACTGGGTTTTTGTGCAAGTAATGCATCCTGCTTAAGCTGTAGCCAATCAAACAATAAACTTTGCTTCCTCTATAAAAACCTTGCCCCTAGCTTTGATGGAGATGCTCCCAATCAATGCCAGTTTGGCATCACCTAATTTGAATAGATGTTTGCTCAAATCAACTCTTAAAAAATTAAATGTGCCTCAATTCATCTTTAAACAGTACATAGTGTTGGTGATATAAAAGGGACAAAGAAGCCATCATGTACTACTAGTGGAAACACACATAGTATTTTAGTGAGAAATCTGGTGTTACTTGGAGAATGGCATGAACACTCAACTTGGACATGTAAAGATAAAAATTAGAATTGGTCCCTTCAGTCCAGGATCTCTCAAGTCAGCAAAGGATATAAGATCTATAAAAACATGATTGCACAGGATGAATGTAAGAAGTGTCACATGTTCTCACGTTCTCTGGGACGCCAGTAAATGAATAGCAAGTCAATGACCTTCTTGCTGCTATTCTCTTACTTTCTGAAATTGCTGTCATCAGAATTGAGGCTCATACCAAGAGGATTGAAACTGAGTACCAGGGAAATGCCTTGCTGACTTGCGTGCACAGGTGGCAGCAGCAGAAACTATACGGGTTGTGGCATATGTAAATGAAGTCCTTTCTGACTTTGAAAAAAATGTCTCCTTGTTGCCAGACTTTGCCTTTTGTCATCCTGAGGTCCTTGCAACATGACAACAGTTATCTCCTGAATCAGAGAAATCACAATGGGCAAACAGTGGTTGTAAATTTAGTCAGGGCTATGGGAGACCCAAGATAGCTACTTGGTTCTTCTATGCTTCCTAGTAAACCCCATCTTCTGGTTTTTCCATTCATTAGCCCACAGTAGTGCAGCTAAGAAGACTGAAATTAAAAATAAATATTGGTGTGGAGATTCCTATAAAATTGTGAAAACCGATTGCTACCTTCCATGTTCACGATCCTTGAAAAACTATTTTTGTTTCCAAAGGCCTCAAACATCCTCCCTGTAGACCATTTCAGTACCTGCAACTGGACTTCATTCAACTGCCTCCTAGGATGGGTCACCAATATGTTCTAGTATTTTTTCTGGATCTGTTGAAGCCTTCCCTTGCCACAAGTCTGACACCCTCACAGTGGCAAAGAAACTTGGAAAATGTGTTTCCCACTTAGGGTATACCCTCCACAATATCCAGTTACCGAAGCACCCACCTCACTGGAAAATCATGCAAGCTTTAACTAAAACCTTGCAAACTTCTAGGAATTATCACTGTTCCTTATCACCGTCAATCATCAGGTTGAAAGAACAAAGGGAATTCTTCAATTTCTAAACTCACTGAAACAACTAGACTTCTTGGCCTAAGGTATTTTCTCTGACCTTTCTGACTGTTAGAGAACAAAATTTAAATTTTAAAATTTGTGATTCATAAGTTGGGCGACATCCAGTCTAGCTGATAGACAGGAGCTCTGAAACACTATACGAGGCAAGGAATTTTATAGGCAGAAGGGAGCAGAACCAAGGAAGTTATACTAGGCAAAATGGTGGATTGGTTATTACAAGCTTACTTTCCTTATAGTAGATGAATGGCAGGTGTTTATCAGGCTAATTACCTAACTAAAGCATACTAGGGAATTCCTGATTGCTTTAAGATTTTGTTTTGGGGAGAGCCAGAACTGTAACTAACTGAAGTGTCAATCTGGTGACACGGGGCTTAGCATAAGCAACTCCATTTGGCGCCTGTTGTCTGTTTAAAAAATTTTTATCCTCACCCGTGGACGTTTTTCCATTTTTTGTTCAGATAGAGTGGGAGGGAGAGAGAGAAACATCGATGTGAAAGGGACACATCGAGTGGCTGCCTCCCGCACGACCCAACCAGGGCCAGGGACAAACTGAAGTACATGCCCTTAGTGGGAACCGAACCCGGGTCTCTCTGGACCGCAGGCCAAGGCTCTAACCGCTGAGCCAAACCAGCCAGGGCTGGTGCCTATTGTCTTTAAGAAATCATTCAAAAACTTCCTGACTAGTGTGAAGGGAAAACTAGAAGACAATAAATAGGGGAACACGGGAACCTGCCCTTAGAAAATTTTCCATTAGGCAGACCTTACTCCCTGAACTTTAAGAGAATAGCAGGAACTGGGCAAAGGGGAAGGAGATATACATCAGCCAGAGTTAACCATTGTATTGTGCAGTTAACCATTGTATTGTACAAATAGAACTGTTAATCCCTCAGACATAACGGCTAACTGCAGATACCTGCTTCTGTACGTGTTTGCTTGTTCGCAGACCCTTAGCCCAATTTCTTAACAGGGGCTAAGAAAACTATATAAGCAACTGTTGTAACCCAGGAGATCGACCATACTCAGACGCCGAGATGGAGTTTAATAAAAGGAGTTTATTGAGCTAAGTCCGCAGGCACCTGCAGTATGTCCCACACAGGAGTGACTGCGGCCCGGAGAGCTAAAATGGCTCCTTTTTATAGGATGTTGTAAGGGGGGTGCTACTGTAAGCAAGAATGTTACAGAAGCGGAATTTAGGGGTTAGTTAATTACCTGTTACTCAGTTTCCCAGACATCTCAAAGGTCAAGATGTTTTCAATAGATTATTCCTGGCGCCGAGCCCAGGATTACTCAAGGTTAGTTATTACCCCGGGGTTAGCGATTACTTAGGGATTAGTTAGTGAAGAATGCTTTTCAGTAGATGAGTAACTGACAACCCCTTTGGTTGTTGTGAAGGCCTCTGGGAGTTTAGGTCAATGGCACTGAGTTATAACATTCCCCACTTCTTCTGGTGAATTAATCAAATCCTTGATTCATATTAGTCATCGATCAGGGGTAAGTGTTGGTAATGTTGCTGTTGGGCTAGTACCATAAGCTTAATTGATTGGATCCGCTCCTTGACAAATGCAGTGATTCAGTTAAGGATGATAGGTTTGCAGGCTAAGGCTATGAATAAGAGGAGGAGCGGACCCACTAGAGGAGGGTGGTCAGCCAGGGAGACCAATTGAACATACTCTCATACCATGAGGTAGAGGTATGTTCTTCTCTCTCTCTAGCTCGTAATCGCTTTTGCAGCTCTTGCATAGATTGTCTGATGATACCTGAGTGGTTAGCATAGAAACAACAGGTCTCTCCTAGGGCAGCACAGAGGCCTCCCTGTTTGAGGAAGAGCAGATCTAGACCTCTGCGATTTTGGAGGGCCACTTCGGTTAGGGAGTCAACCTGTTTTTTAAGGTATTTGACTTGGGTTTGGAGTAATTCAACATCGCGGGAAAACGTGGCTGACAGCTCACGAAGGGCAAGGTCATTCTTAATGAGGGCTGTCGCCCCTAGGGCAGTGGAGCCGGCAATACCCAGGGTAGCCAGTACAGGGATCAGAATGGGGACACGTTTCTGGAGTCTAGTATGATAGTCTGAGGCTAGAAAATGGGCTGCACCTGTGGGCCCTGCATATAGGTATACCTGGGGAACTATATAGATAACAACACAAAGATCTGAATGGTTCCCGGGGCTAATGCAACGGTGGATACCTGATAAGCATGCAAACCAAGTCCCGCTAGGTGCAATCAGCGTCCATGAGGGTGAGCCTTCGGCTCGCAGAGAGGTGTTGGTCAGGCAGTTGTCCTTGTATGGCGAAGCTTGGAGGTCAAGGATGAAGCAGGTCCCCTGTCCTTGAAGATCTCCTAGGGTGAGCTTGCCGGCTCGGGCACAGTTGGCTAGGGTTCCTTCCCCAGGTGAGTGTGAGTCACTAAAAGTTTGGTTCATGGGGGCAAGAGTACCCATGGCATTTGCCCCAAGACCAACGTAGTAGGGTGGTGCTGGATCTACACAGAGCCAGCAGTCTTCGGTGGTGGTAGGTTGAGAACTATTTAAGAGGGAGAAAACAGAATCTAACATGGTTAGAAGCGAGTTGCGAAAGGAATTGAGGGGGTGTGGCGTTGGCACCTGAAGGGACCCAGAAGCTGGAGCTGTTGTCCTGTTCCAGCTCTCTAGAGACTCTATGGGTGTTACTGGGTTGAGAATGTGGTTTGGTCCAATGGGAAGCAGTGGGGGTAGACCCCCGGCAGGGTTGGGAGGGCCCCTCCGAGAAGGAACCCAGGGAAGTCGCTGGATGGTGAATAAGGTACCAATGTCGTATCCAGTGAGATATAGTCTCAATCCCCATGTTTTTCCAGTAAGCCAGACTGAGTTTAGGGGCTGTTTTATAGTAATAGTGGTGGGGTTACAAGTTTGGTTCTTGTAAGTAGGGTCTATTCCATCTTGTCTCTTGTGGGTATGGGGTGTGCGGTCCCGCAGGAGGGTTATTTCATCATCATTGCCGCCCCCTGGTGACCATCCGAGGGCTAGGGTCTCACAACCCCAGGCCTTACAATAAAATTCTCCCGGTCCACCACATGTAGCCCTCACATGCCTGGGGAATGGGTTCTGGGGACAACCATAATGCTGAGTGCTCCATAGGACATGGTTAAGGTTACAGACTGAAGTTTTTACTTGCTGAGCCAAAGCGAGTTATTGGTTGGGTTGTGTGACGGGAACCAAATTCTCCGTGACAGAGGTTGTCATCGAAGAATTGTGAAAAGTCAGTCTTAAGGGTTACCTGGGAGGTTTGGAAGGTCTCATTGATGGCTAGCCTAGAGCCATCTCTAGTCCTGGTGAGGATCCAGGTATGTTTAGTTGGAATGCTGCAGAGGGTAGGGACCTATAACAAACTCAAGAGGATGCAGTAAACTTGAGTTTTAGAGGGTCTGTGGGATCCTTGGAAAGAGCCCATTTCTTTGGGATCTGATCAGGGTGTGCTTTCTTTACCTGGGTGTGGTGAATCCACGGTGTCTTATTAGACACCTTAAAGGCTGTGGGGGTTGTCAGAATTACCAAGTGGGGCCCATCCCAGGTAGGTTCGAGGGTTTCCTTGTTAAACTTCTTGATCCAAATCCAGTCACCAGGCTCAATGTCCAGTGGGGGTGGTTCCGCTTCAGTGGGTTGTTTTCTTTCCTTGGCTGAGAGGCGGGCTTCTCTTCTGATGACTTCGATGACCTGCAAAGACTTGAGAAGCCCCTGGTTAGATAATTTGCCTATGTGGTCATAGTGAATCTTAGGGATAATAGGTGGTGGTCTCCCATAGATGATTTCATAAGGGGTAAGGTTCTTGAGATATGGGGTGCACGGGTGTGCAACAGAGCAAACGGCAAGAGGTTTACCCAATTATCACTGGTTTCAATCTTAAGTTTGGTAAGAGTCTCCTTAAGAGTTCTATTCATTCTCTCTACCTGACCTGAGCTTTGGGGTCTATAGGCACAATGTAATTTCCAGCCTATTCTGAGAGCTTCTGCTATTAATTTGGAAATTTTGACTATGAAAGCCGGCCCATTGTCTGACCCCAGGACTAAGGGCAGGCCAAATCTAGGAATGATCCCAGTTAGGAGATGTCTGGCAACTACGTTAGCAGTCTCGTGCCTTGTGGCAAAAGCCTCAGTCCATCCTGAGTAGGTGTCAACAAAAACAAGTAAGTACTTAAATCCAAATTTGCTGGTTGAGATCTCAGTAAAATCAAGTTCCCAATGCTCACCTGGTTCATGCCCTCTGATTCGGACCCCAAGTCCATGGGGTCTGGGAGGCCCTGGATTTACCTGTGCACAGGCAGAACATCGGGTAACCTCCGAAGTGGCTATAGTCTTGAGATCTGGAATATAGAAGTGTCTACTGACTAGAGAGATTAATTTTGATGTGCCTAGGTGAGTACTATAGTGGAGATCTCTAATGAGAGCAATTCCCAAGGCTTTCGGGAGAAGTAGTCTTCCGTCGGGGAGCCGATGCCAGTTCCCCTTTTCTGTTGAACAATTTAATTTCTTTCCCAGGTTGAGCTCCTCTTCATTGTAGGATGGCAAGGAGGGCAATTCCCGAAGGGGAAGAGCAGGGAGGATTTCTATAGGTTTTACCTCAGTTAGGGCAATTTGTTTAGCAGTCCGGTCTGCTAGGTCATTTCCTTCTTTTGTCTGACTAGGCTTGGTTTCGTGCCCTCTGCAGTGAACAATGGCCACAGCCTTAGGTTGCCAGATGGCTGCTAAGAGGTTGAGTATCTCTTCTCTATTTTTAATTTCTTTCCCAGCTGATGTGAGGAGCCCCCTTTCTTGGTATAGGGCTCCATGCACATGGGCAGTTGCAAAGGCACAGCGGCTGTCAGTATAGATGTTGACCCTCTTGCCTTTTGCCCAGTTGAGTGCCTGTGTCAGGGCAATCAGTTCTGCTTTCTGTGCAGAAGTTCCGTGGGGCAAGGCCTGAGCCCAGATTACCTGTAAGTTGGTGACTACTGCTGCCCCGGCATACCGAGTTCCATCCTTGATGAAACTGCTCCCATCGGTATAGAGGTCATAGCCAGAGTTGGCTATTCGCTCGTCTTTGAGGTCCGGTCTTGTTCCCTCTATGGAGTCTAGTAATGAGTGGCAATCATGGAGCAGTTTTCCTTGATTCTCGTCGGGGAGTAAGGTAGCCGGGTTGAGGGCAGTAGACTTGGAGAAGGTAACCTGTGGTGGGTTCAATAATAGTACCTGATATTGGGTGAGGCGAGCGTTGGAAATCCATCTGTCAGGAGGAGACCTGAGTAAGGCTTCAGTGGTGTGGCCTCCGATGATTTGGAGGTCCTGGCCTAAGGTCAGCTTCTGCGCCTCCTTGACAAGGAGAGCAGTTGCAGCTATCGCTCTCTTGCAGGACGGCCAGCCTGCAGCAACAGGGTCAAGCTGTTTGGAGAGAGAAGCAATCGGGCGTTTCCATGGTCCCAGAGTCTGGGTTAGGACTCCTTTTGCTATGCCTTTGCGTTCTGCAACGAAAAGCTGGAAAGGTTTGGTGGTATCTGGCAAGGCAAGGGCAGGGGCTGAGGCAAGCACCTGTTTAAGTCTTTCAAAAGCCTCTTCTTCCCTTTTAGTCCAAGTTAAATCAGGTTCCTTTCCCCCCGTACATGAATAGAGGGGTCTTGCAATTTCTGCAAACCCTAGAATCCACAGTCTGCAATATCCAACCGCGCCTAGAAATTCTCGTACCTGCCTTTTGGTGGTTGGCCTTGGGACCCCAAGGATTGCTTGGATGCTTCCTGAGGATAAAGTGCGTTTCCCTTCCTCTAAGTGGTAACCCAAATAGGTGGCTTTCTTGACACATATTTGTGCTTTTCTCATGGATACCCGGTACCCAAGTTTGCCTAACTCAATGAGAAGGGCTCGGGTGGCAGCAAGGCATTCATCGGAGGTCCGGGCAGCTAGGAGTAGGTCATCTACATACTGGAGCAGGGTTACCTGTGGGTGGCTGTCTCGGAAGTTGAGGAGGTCCCGGCTCAGGGCTTCGTCAAAAATGGTGGGAGAGTTCTTGAAGCCCTGAGGGAGTCTGGTCCAGGTAAGCTGGCCTGAGAAACCCCCTTCGGGGTCTGTCCATTCAAAGGCAAAGATGGGTTGGTTCTTCGCAGCAAGCGGCAGGGTGAAGAAGGCGTCTTTGAGGTCCAGGACTGAGTAGTAAACCTTGTCTGGAGGTAAAAGACTCAGGAGGGTATATGGGTTAGGCACAGTAGGGTGGATAGACTCAACCCTTTTGTTTACCTCCCGCAAATCCTGAACTGGCCTATAATCTTCTGTTCCTGGTTTCTTCACGGGCAACAATGGGGTGTTCCAGGGGGACTGACACGGAATTAAAATGCCTGCATCTCTCAGCCTCTTAATATGTTTGGCAATCCCTTCCTTGGCCTTTTGGGGAATTGGGTATTGTCTGACTTGAATGGGAGTAGCAGTGCTGGCCAATTGCACAATGATAGGGGGCTGGTGAGAGGCTAGCCCCGGTGGGTTTGTTTCAGCCCAAACTTCAGGGATCTGTATGGCTAATTTAGTCAAGACATCCTGTGAGTTACTTTCCCCAGTGGGAGGTGACATTTCCTCTTGAAGGAGATATTCCTCAGAAAGGGGTACTGTAACCATGATGGTGGGAAAGTTGTTGGTTCCCTAGGCTTAGAGTTGTGCTGTTGTCTTGAAAAGTTATAGTTGCTTTCAGCTTTCGCAGCAGGTCTCTGCCAAGCAATGGGTAGGGGCAGTCGGGCATTACGAGGAAAGAATGAGTGATTTGCCCTTCCTGAGATCAGTGATTCTGGCCTTAGTCCATGGGTATGCTTTTGGCTTTCCTGTTGCCCCTATAATCGATGTCTTTTGGGAGGAGAGCTTTCCAGAGGCCTGCTGCAGGACCGAATAGGTGGCCCCCGTGTCGACGAGGAAGTCAGTTTGTTTTCCCTCGACCGTCAGGGTTATCATGGGTTCCTGGGGGCCTAAATTGATGGAACCCTGACCCCCCTAATCTTCCTCAGTCTCTAGGAGTAAGCGTGTAGGGGTTTCTTGTGCTTTTCTTGCCATTAGCTTGGCGCAATCTTTCTTCCAGTGTCCCATAGCCTTGCAGAAGGCGCATTGATTTTTATTAAGTTGGGGTCTACCTTTAGATGGTTCCTTATTCCCCTGATAGGTGGCTAGTGGTCCCTTGTTAGGGGAGTTGGGGTCTACCTTTAGATGGTTCCTTATTCCCCTGATAGGTGGCTAGTGGTCCCTTGTTAGGGGTTGCCAGCAAGATTCGAGACAGTTGCCTCGTTTGCTCCTTAATGGGATCCTCCCAGTTCTGAAAAACTTTCTGAGCTATTTCAAGTAACTCACTTCTATTCTTTCCCCCAAAGTCTTCTAATTTCTGCAATTTCTTTCTGATGTCTGGGGTTGACTGTGAGATGAAGGCCATGTTGACCATCGTCTATTCCCATCTGCATCTGGGTCTGAGGGGGTATAAGTTCTGTAGGCCTCTAATAATCTTTCTAAAAAGGCCGTGGGAGATTCGTCCTTCCCTTGCATAGTGGCTGCTACTTTTGCTAAATTGGTGGGTTTCTTAGCAGCGCCCCTTAGACCCCTGAGGAGGTTTCGGTGATAAGTGTGTAACCTCTGCATCCCCTCCCCAGTGTTTGGATCCCATTCTGGGGGTCGTTGAGGCAGTTCATCATCTAAGCCCTCGGGGCCAGCGTCATCCCCGACCACAGCCTTAACTGCCTCAGCACGTATCCTCTCCCTCTCCTCTGAGGTGAACAAAGTTTGTAAGATCTGTTGACAATTGTCCCAAGTGGGTTGGTGGGTCCGGAATACAGACTCCAATAAACTTATCAGAGCTTGTGGTTGCTCCGAGAAAGGGGGGTTTTGTTGTTTCCAATTATATAAATCACTAGTTGAAAAAGGGACATAGATCATACGCGCCGGGCCCATAGTGCCGGGCGTGGAGGGCACCTCTCGTAATGGGAGCATCGGGACTGAGGTGTCCAGTTCCCGGGCCGGTTGATAAGGGGTGCCGTCCCGTGTATGTGAGGGACTCAAAAGTCTGGCGTTGTCAGCCGGGCCTGGGGCTCTTGCCTGAGGCTCGTCTGAGGGTGCCGTCGCCTTCCCGCCCAAGGTGTTTCCTGCATAGGGTGGGGGCATCATTACTTCTAGGAGCAGATATAACTGGGGTTTGGGTGCTTTCCCAGGGGGTTCTGGTTGGCTCTCCTTGGTTGCCCCCCACGGTCGCTCCTTTGGGGCTGCAACCATGATGGTATGGTTTCCTATCTTAGCTCTCATTTCCTTTTGGGGCTTCTCCCTATTTTGTTATATAGGGAGGCTTGTCTAATACTGTCAATCCAGACATCTATATATACCCGTTGGTCTGGGTGAGGGACCCTATAAACAACCGACCGCACGGCGAAGAGGAGGTTAGAGTCAAAACTCCCCTCCGAGGGCCATTCCACCCCGAAGGTTGGCCACTCTAGTTCACATAGCGTCCTCAGGAAGCCGGGGTCTGCTGGCTTCCCGTAATTACAGGACCTTTTGAGAAAATCGAAAAAGTTAGAGAGCAGACATTCAAAGGGGGTCTGTTTCCTGGATGGTCCTTGGCCCATGGCGTCTCTTCTGAAAGTGAAACAGTTAGAGCAGCAAGAGAGGCTGAACATACAAGAACACGAAATCAGAAGACAAACAATAACAATCACTGAGACTAGTCTCACACCCTCACGGAACACACACACCTTCAAAGTGAAGCACCTAGGCTTCCAAAATCAGAAGTCAGCGTCCTGACTGATTAGAGGCAGACAGTGCGCGGCGTCCCGCCTGTACAGCCTCGCCAAATGCTCCGGAGCCAAAGACACAGAGAAACAAATGGATCGATCCACTTACCAAGACCACGTGGCGCGGAGACCCTAAGCCGAATCTGGCCGCAGTCAGAAGATCAAATTTGTAGAGGCGAGGATGGAGATGCCTCGCCTTGTACCTGAGGAGGTCGACCCCTCTTAGAGGGGGACCTCGAGGTGATCTCGCTGAGGCCTCCAACTGTTGTAACCCAGGAGATCGACCAAACTCAGACGCTGAGATGGGATTTAATAAAAGGAGTTTAGCAGCCACTCGATGTGTCCCTTTCACATCGATGTTTCTCTCTCTCTCTCCCTTCCTCTCTCTCCTTCCCACTCTATCTGTACAAAAAATGGAAAAATATCCTCGGGTGAGGATAAAAAAAAAAAAAAAAAAAAAAAGGAGTTTATTGAGCTAAGTCCGCAGGCACCTGCAGTGTGTCCCACACAGAAGTGACTGCGGCCCCGGAGAGCTAAAATGGCTCCTTTTTATAGGATGTTGTAAGGGGGGTGCTACGTGTAAGCAAGCATGTTACAGAAGCGGAATTTAGCGGTTAGTTAATTACCTGTTACTCGGTTTCCCAGACATCTCAAAGGTCAAGATGTTTTCAATAGATTATTCCTGGCGCCGAGCCCAGGATTACTCAAGGGTTAGTTATTACCCGGGGTTAGCGATTACTCAGGGGTTAGTTAGTGAAGAATGCTCTTCAGTAGATGAGTAACTGACAACCCCTTTGGTTGTTGTGAAGGCCTCTGGGAGTTTAGGTCAATGGCACTGAGTTATAACACAACCTTCCTCCTGAGCTCAGGGCTGCTCCCTCCTCTGAGCAGGAAGGGACAGTCACCGCGCAGCTAATAAAGCTCTTTGATTTGACCACATTTGGAGTCTGAGTTCGGATTCTTCTTGTGGGCTACAACATTAGCATCAGTAAGGTAATTAACGCCTGCCATCCCCTGTAAGATTTAAAAATTTTGCTCAGTTGAATTTTGTTCTTTAATAGGAGAAGACAGCTGGAGGTGTGGGAAGGTCAAGTTTTGGGTGCTTGTGGCTGAAAGGACCCCCACCTCCGTGCCCCTGGTGTTGGTGGCGATGGGGTTAGAAGAGGCTAGTCCTGAAAACTAGCATCTGGTTCCCCTCATTAAAGGGGCTCCAGGGAGTCATGAGTGACCCCTTAACAACTCCTTCCTGCCAGGACTGGTCTGTTAGATCTCACTGGTCCCTATTTTGACCCCTGGCTTTGGATCCTATTCTAACCTGGTGGGAGGGAGGCCCCAGGGGCAGCCCTGCACATGCATTGGGAGGGAAGCGGGAACACAGGTCAAGGCTGATGGACGTGTGGGGCCCGAATGGTCATCGGAGAGTGGAGGACAGGCATTGTGGGGGAGATGGGTGTGTTGGGGAAGAGCCCCCAATGACTCAGACAGTGGTCGACCAGAACCGCACTGGAACCGGGGAGAAGCCGAGACGTTGGCCCTCCCGGTTTCCTAGAGAGGCCGCCGAGGTCCGGGACAGCGACGCGCGTGCGCGACCCTATGGGCTGTGAGACCAGCGCGCGGCGAGCGGTGCGGCCGGGGTCGGCCGTGGGGGCCGCGGGAGACGGTGAGTGACCAGGCGGGGTGCGGGGCGCGTCCGGGCTGCTGCGCGGCGCGGGGTTGCGGGAGGGCGGCGGGCGCTTGCGGGGCCCTGCGCGGACGGCGGCGGCGGAGGCCGGGCCTGGAGGCTGCGCCCGGGGCGGCATGGCTGGGATCCTGCGCCGCCGCGTCGGGGGCGGATCTGGGAGCGCGTCCCCGCCCGGGGCGCCCGGGGCGAGAATTTGGAGTGAAGGTTTCGTGCTTTCGCTCTTGTCCCAATTATGCAAACAAAGCGTATTCATTACTGTCGCGGGTGAGCCACAGAAAAGTAAAAGTGGTTGCAATCCGCCGGTGTTTTCGTCGGGAGGCTTGCTGATATTTTAAAATTTACGCGTAATTATGCAAACTCATATCCGTATATACTAGGACATGGGATCACGCTAGTGCTAATAAAAACTTATTGTGATAAAGCAGTTGCTGAAATATGATGGACTATACATAACATTTACCAAAGGATACGTAGAAATGCACTGTTTGAACCATTTGAAAGTGTATAATTGAGTGGCATTAAATAAATTTATGTGTTGCTTATTGGAAAATTATGCAGTTTTTCATTTGCATAATGCGTTTGTTCATATACCGGTTAAAGATGGTGCTAGCATAATATCACAAAAGCATGTTTCCAAGTATAATTAAAAGAAAACATTTTATGTGCCATTTATTTCCCATAGTACACAGTTCACGAGGCTGTAAATGCTCAACAAGTGACGTTTGTGGAGAAAAATCTTGTTTATTGGGGTGATTGTTCTCAGAATGACAGTGTAGTATGTAAAATGCAGTTTGTTAAACATGAGGTACATTTCTAACCCAAAGCCAGCTACTGTCCTGTGACTTGCATAGGCCTTCGAAATCAAGCTCTCCTTCCTAAGTTAAAAGTGGTGGCCAGGAAAGAACATCCTGTTTCAAACTGTGTGCAGTTCATACTGAAAACTCATTAATATTATTCTGTTATTTTGCAAAGGAAGTGTCGGGGAGTATTTTTAAATTAAGGATTTCAGGGAACTTGCATCTTTTAATACACACCTATGTCTGTGTGCACATTCAGGGACTGACCAGTGAGGCTGTTCTTACATGTTATGTGAACGCTAAAGATATTAGACAAATTTTGGTTTAAAAAGTAATCCTTGTTGCTGCCAGGTTGCTTGGTTGGTTGGACTGTCGTCCCATGCACCAAACAGGTTGTGGGTTCGATTCCAGGTCAGAGCACAAACCTGGGTTTCACATTCTCTCTCTGGTGGGCAACCGATTGATGTTTCTCACATTATGTTTCTCTCTCTCTCCCTCTCTCCCTTCCACTCTCTCTAAATTCAATAAAAATATCCTTGGGTGAGGATGAAAAAAAATGTAATCCTTTCTGTAAGCTGAAAAGATGGAATGTTTTGAAGATAAACATTCAATATGTACTTAAAAGGGAACTGCTGACAGCATCAAAAATACTGTTTCACCTTTAAATTTCCTGGGGCTCCTAATATCCAGGAAGTATTGGTGTATAACATTCTATGATGTCAGAGAGTTGCTTAAGAGTAAAAATGCATAAAGTATTGTAAACATAACTTACCTTATTTTTGCTATCTCCAGTATTTTTATATCAGAAACAATCTGAAAGAGCTCCCTCCTTGTTTTATTATACAACATAGCACCTGTCACTAAGATACCATGTGCTTTATTTATTTCATAATCTGTCTTCCCATAAGGGCCTCAAGGCAGCCCTCCATGTCTGCTCTTTCACTCCCGTGACCTTAATGCCTGATACATAGTAGTTGTTCATGAAATACTTGTTAAATTAATTGAAGAATGAATCCCAATTGGAGATAAGAATTCACTGTATTTCATATCCTTGATTGCCAAGTTAATCCTAAATATCTAAGATAGAAATAAATCAGAAAAAAATGGTAACAACCCAGTCTTCAGTTTAAAACCTTTTAATTTTGAATAATTGTAGATTTAGCCCTGGCCAGTTTGGCTCAGCGGTTAGAGCATCAGCCTTGGTCCCGAGAGACCTGGGTTCAGTTCCCGCTAAGGGCATGTACCTCGGTTGCAGTTTGTCCCCTGCCCTGGTTGGGTTGTGTGGATGGCAGCCACTCAATGTGTCCCTTTCACGTCGATGTTTCTCTCTCTCTCTCCCTCCCACTCTATCTGAACAAAATATCAAAAAATGTCCTCGGGCGAGGATAAAAAATAAAATAAAATAAATAATGAATAATTGTAGATTTACAGAGGGTTGCAGAACTGTTTCCTTATCCTCTTTACCCAGTTTGCCTTAAGTTAATATCTTGCATAACTATAATACAATCATCAAACTTAAGAAATGTACAGTGGTACAATGTGATTAATGAGACTGCTGACTGTAATCAGAGTTGATCAGGTTCTGACTATTGACCCTTTGTGTTCCAGGATTCAGTCTAGAATCCCTCTTTCATTTAGCTGTCATGTCTCCTTGTTCTTTTTAAATTTGTGGCAGTTTCTCAGTCCTTGCTTTTTATGACGTTGACACTTTGGAAGTATTTCGTATTTATATTTTTAGGACTATCAGTTTGGTTTTGTTATATTTGTTCTCCTGTTTTGAGAATGATGTTGATATGTCTTTTTACCGGTGATAATTAATCTGATCCTGTGGTATTTGCCAGGTTTCACCACTGTGAAGATAGTGTCTTTCCCTTTGTAATTAGTAAGTATTTGGGGGAAGATGCTTTGAGACATTACATAAAAATATTCTGCTTCTCTCCACCTTTCAGCAGTCAGTCAGCATTCCTCGATGGATCTCGCCTGTGCAGTCATTACTGTAAAGGGCTAATGGTGACTTTCATTTCTGTTATTCCGTCTGCATTTAGTAACTGCAATTCCTTGTGGGGAAGAGTTGTGCCTTCACCCCTTTTTGATTATTTGTTCGATCAGTTATACCAGTGTGTGATGTTGGGTGTGTAATTTCTTCTTCAGCCTATAATGCAGTGCTATTGTTTATTTTGTTGTCTAATTTATTCCCACTTTGGCCATTGGGAGCTCTTTCGGGTTGGTTTGTTTCTCCTTGAGGGGCTCCCATGCTTTTCTGTGTCTTTCCCTGACTTTTTGGCATCACATACTACTCATCTTGTATCTTCTCTACCCCGGCACTGGAATTAGCCAATTCTCCAAGGACCCTGGTTCTGTCTATTAGAGAAAAGTACTTAGATGTCTAGTTTTGGGAACTCGGTTTGAGCTTCTTTCTTTCTTTTTTAAAAATAATTTTTCTTGCCCTGGCCGATTTGGCTCAGCGGTTAGAGCGTCAGCCTGCGGTCCAGAGAGACCCGGGTTCGGTTCCTGCTAAGGGCGCATACCTCGGTTGCAGTTTGTCCCTGGCCCTGGTTGGTTGTGCGGGTGGCAGCCACTCGATGTGTCCCTTTTACGTCGATGTTTCTCTCTCTCTCTCTCTCTCCCTCCCACTCTATCTGAACAAAAAATGGAAAAGTGTCCTCGGGTGAGGATAAAAATAATAATAATAATAATTTTTTAAATTGATTTTAGAGAGAGGAAGGGAGAGGGAGAGAGAGATAGAGACATCAGTTGGCCGCCTCCTGCATGCCCCCACTGGGGGGTCGGGCCTTGACTGGGAATTGAACCCACAACCTCTTGGTACATGGGTCGATGCTCAACCACTGAGCCACACCATCAGGGCTCTTTCCTTTTTTTTTAATTTTCACCTGAGGATAGGCTTTCATTATTATTATTTTTTTTTTTTAAGAGAGAGGAAGGGAGAAAGAGAGAGAAATATCAGTTGGCTGTTGCCTGTGAATTGAACCTACAACTTTTTGTGTGTATGGGACAATACTCCAACCAACTGAGCCACTGGCCAGGGTGAGCTTATTTCTTAATTGAAATATTTGTATAAGTATTGTTTTAAAATTTTAAATATGTACTGGAAGGGAAATCTTTATTTAACAGCAATTAATAGTACACATTTGTGTATTATTTGTGTATAGAATAAACCTCTGTACCCTTACATGGGTAAGAAAAACATGAAAATAAAAGACTACTTTTAATGAGGATTTTTAAAAGAAAACAAACAGCCTTGGCTATTTTGGCTCAGCAGTTAGAACATTGGCCCACAGATTGAAGGGTCTTGGGTTTGATTACTGGTCAAGGGCATGTACCTGGGTTGCAGGTTCAATCCCCCGCCCCATCAGGGTCGTGCGAAAGACAACCGATCAATATGTCTCTCACACTGATGTTTCTCTCTCTCTCTCCTCCCTTCTTTCTACTCTAACTAAAAATCAATGGAGCCCGGCCAGTGAAGCTCACTGGTTGAACATCAACCCATGCACCAAGAGGTCACAGGTTTAATTCCCAGTCAGGGCACACGCCCAGGTTGTGGGCCAAATCCTGGGGGGGGGGGGGCATGCAGGAGGTGGCCAATTGATGTTCTCTCTCATCGATGTTCCCATCTCTCTCCCTCTCCCTCTCTCTCTAAAATCAGTAAAGATGCCCAGCCGGTGTGGCTCAGTGGTTGAGCATCGACCTATATACCAAGAGGTTGCCAGTTGGATTCCTGGTCAGGGCACATGCCCAGGTTGTGGGTCAAATCCCTGGTAGAGGGCATGCAGGAGGCAGCCAGTCAATGTTCTCTCTCTATGTGTCTCTCTCTCCCCGCCTCAAATCAATAAAGAAAAAAAATCAATGGAAAATATTCTTGGGTGAGGATTAACAAAAAAGAAAAAGAAAACAAACACAGTTACATTGCATATGAGTTGAAGAAACAAAATGATAAAAAGAAGAAAATGCCCCTGAAAAATGGCCAGGCAATTGCTTGGGATTTTTCCCTGTCAAATTGCCACTGAGGTACATGGCCCTTGACCAGAATGGAGCGTGACTCTTTGGTCCATGGGCCGTTGCTCTAACCGCTGAGCAAAACCAGCCAGGGCTTCCCTGTTTTTTTCAAATATTTATTTTCATTGTGGGAATGAGAGGGGCTTAAGGTATGACTCTTAATGAGAAGCCTGATCCAGCTCAAGTTGCTTCCTAGGCCCTGGGGGCTCACATTAGTGGTAGAATCTTAACAAACTGATGAATGAATCTTCTCTTCTCTTTTCTTTTCATTTTTATCTTTACCCGAGGACACCTTTCCATTTTTTGTTCAGATAGAGTGGGAGGGAGAGAGAGGAAGAGAGAGAGAGAGAGAAACATCGATGTGAAAGGGATACATCAAGTGGCTGCCACCTGTACTCCCAACCAGGGCCGGGGACAAACTGCACCGAGAAACGTGCCCTTAGTGGGAACCAAACCCGGGTCTCTCTGGACCGCAGGTGACGCTCTAACCACTGAGCAAAACTGGCCAGGGCTGAATCTTTGTTTTGTTTTGTTTTAATCCTCACCAGAGGACACTTTTCAACACTTTGTTGAGATAGAGTGGGAGGAAGAGAGAGAGAGAGAAACATCGATGTGAAAGGGACACATCGAGTGGCTGCCACCCACACGACCCAACCAGGGCCGGGGACAAACTGCAACCGAGGTACATGCCCTTAGCGGGAACCGAACCCAGGTCTCTCCGGACCACAGGCCAATGATCTAACCGCTGAGCCAAACGGGCCAGGGCTGAATCTTATCTTTTGTCCTTAAAAGCTAGTTGGGACAGGAGTTTCCCTGTGGCATTAGATAGAATACATGAATTTAACTGGACAAGTTCAACTCACTGGCCCCCATCGCTTTCCTATGCTCTGGGTCTTTCATTCAGAGTTTGAAAGGCCCACTCTTGGGCCTTTTATTTTAGCTTTATCCATGTTCATGGTTGCAGAAGCTGGGCTCTCCCTTTCTTTGAAGACCTGGACTCCTTTGCCATATTATCAGGCAGTCACCCTCATTTTCCTGTTTCTCAGTCTTCTCATCAGCTCCTTATAAATACTTCACTGACCTTTTGGACATTTCTGCAGCTGCTTCAGAACAGGCCAAATCGGAGGCTTATTTTTGGTGCTAATTTCGTTGTGGGTCTCAGTTTTCTGAGATTGTTATCATATATATTTCCTGCTGGTTGCATTTCTTCAAAATATTTGGCCTCAAGTTCATTGTCTTTAGCCTCACCGCCAGATTTCTCTTTACACTCAGCATCACTCTAGGTCTTTTCATTCTTCATTTTTCATTTCTTGCTCTCTCCAGGCTGTTCTGCAGTATTGTGTGGGAAAGTCACTGTCCTTTCTCTGACTTCCAGCTGCCTTCTGAGCAGTGTTTCTGCTTCCTGTCTGTGCTGCTGGAGCTCAGCAAGGCTGGAGCCTGGCCCTCTGGCTCCTGAAGCTCCCTGCTGTCGTCTGTGTCTCCAGGTCTCCTGTGACAGGCCTGCATTTATTTACTTTATCATTTCTCTCATTTTCCTTTGCTTTTGTTTTCTCTGAATACTTCTTCTTACCCTCCGCCCCCTTTCAGAGCAAAGCTTCATTTCTCTGCTGAAATTTGAGCAGCCTCCTCCTCATGCATGACCCTTAATGTGGTTCTTTACCTGACCCCCGCCCTGGAGCCCGGTGGAGTTTCTTCTTGTAGCTGGAGCTGGCATGGGGCATGCTTTCTGGGTGAGCCTTCTTCCTGTCTCACGTAGTCATGTCTTCCTTGTGGGTCCTAGCAGCTCTTGCTGAGTCCAGGAGACGTTGAACAGGAGGTGTTTTTTATTTTTATAATGAATGTAGGAGAGGATGGCTTTTGTTTTAGTATCATAGGTGAAGGCAGTGTTTTCTTTTAATTTGCTGACAGTGGTGAGGGTTGGAGGGTGCCACAGTTTCAGGGGTGACAATCATCATCTGTGACGCGGTACAATTTGCTCCAGGTGCCAAGGCCTGCTTGTCCATCTCAAACTTCTTTGTAGATTTTTTTGTTTTAACTCTTTTCTTTCATAAAAAAATTTCATTTGTGTTGAGGTAACATTGGTTTTAACACTATGTTTCAGGTATGCAGCATTATAAATTGACAGCTATATATAATACATCATGCTCACCACCGGAGTCTAGTTTTCATCTGTAACAGAGGATTGTCCTCCTCCCTGGTTTCCCTCCCCCCTCCCTCAGGTAACTGCAGTCTGTTAACTGCCTGAGTTTGTTTCTTTTGTATGTTGGGTTTGGGGGCAGCATTTTGCTCTTTTTCTTCTGTGCCTCACTTCCCAGTTTTTGTCTTACATTGTTCTCTTTGTTCAACCAGCCTTCCCTGATTTAGATGCTGACTCAGCGGCTAAAACAGAACTAAGGTCACCTGGATTTTTTCTTTTTTTCCCATCACCTGAGCTGCAGCCACTGTTTGCACCCAGGTTTCCTCTGAGGATTTGCTGCCCCTTTTGCTCTCTGCCTTCTCTTCCGTCCAGGGAGCCGATACTCAGTTGCTTTGTTTTTTAAGCAGAATTATTGATCGCTTTGCTGACTGTAAAAGTAGTGCATAACGATTCAGGAGACGTAAACAGACAGGAAGGGAAAGCCCTCTGGTCCCACCTGCCAGAGGAGACAGTGGCTGAAACACTGGTGCCGCTGCTTAGGGCCTTTCTGCGCACATGCAAACATGCTGTTTTCATGACTGAACAGGTTCACGACTGTACTTTCTAAAGTTTGCCTTTTTAATTTTTATTTCAGGAAATTGGGAAATGACAAAAATATAAACATAAAATATAAAGAAAAATAACACAGAGGGTACTCACATCTAACATTTTCATGTATTTGCATTCATTATTTTCTTTGTGCACTTCAATAAAAAAAGAGAGACCTAGTATATAAATTTTGTGTTAAGAAATCAAATTACAAATAAAGTAGAAGTTCCTATAACTACTATTCCCAACCTCCAACCTCACAAGTTTTTGTGAGTCCTTCCAGGCCATTTTAAATTCCTTTGAGAGTGTATGTGTCATCCCACATACACACACTTATATGCACATATATGTGATTTTCAGGTTTTTTCCTACAATTATGTTTAGGACGTTCTTTTTAACTTAGCACGTCTTGCTTCTTTTGGGAGAGGTAGTCAGGCACAGCTTCTGCAGCTTCTGCTTCGCATAGCACAGCACAGGAGCTCGTGGCCTGATGTGGGCAACAGTCCCTTGCAAAGAGGTGAAGAGCCCCCCCAGCCTGTGCTGGCTTATGCCTTGTGAGGGACTGTCTCCCTGCTCAGTGCTTCAGGCAACCCCACTGTTGTGCTTGCATGCCTGTGTCAGTGGCCCTCAGGCCCACCCCTGCTTTCTTGTTTCAGACCCCACCTGCAAGGGGTCAGGACCTCCCTCCTGCAGCATGGCGTGTGCTGCTTGCGTCCACACCACCCGCACCACATCGGCTGTGAAGTGCATCTGCTCGTCATGGGGACCGGTGGATTCCAAAGGGCTGAGTCTTGTGTACTCTCTCTTCTCTCTTGCTGTAAGTAAACACTGTACCCCTGCTGTGTGTGTTTTCTGTTCTCAACAACTTAGTATCATGCTCTGGTCTCTTCTCTGGGTGACACTGACCTGCTTTTTAAAACAATTTTTTTTTCTTTATTGATTTTAGAGAGAGGGGGGAAGGGAGAGGAAGAGAGAGATAGAAACATTGATGTGAGAGAGAACATCTATGGGCCACCTCCTGCAGGCCCCTCACTGGGGATTTGGCCCACAACCTGGACATGTGCCCTGATCGGGAATCGAACTGGTGACCTCTTGGTGCATGGGACGATGCTCAACCACTGAGCCACACGGCCGGGCAGACACTGACCTGCTTTTTTAACTGTTGTTGGTATTTCATCCAATAAAGTGCTACACTTCTATTTAGCTGTGTTGATGGGACAAGTAGGTTATTTCCAATTTTGTGTTATTGTTACCGGAAAAAGGACCTGCCCTGAGTGAGTCTGCTTAGGGTGGGGCAGGTAGTGTGTGGCTTCTTGACTTTGTGCGAGAGAAATTTCACAACACAAGTCCAGGTGAATTTTAGAGGACATTTATTAAAGCTGAGGACAGTGAAACGGGAAGGGCTGGGGAAATGAGCCTAAGCTGGCCTGCTTCGGCTCACTAAGAGGGCAGAGAAAGGGGGGAACTGGGGACAGGTTCAGGGGGTTTGTCTGGGATGAACTGCTGCTGCTCATTGCTCCCCTGGTTGTAAGCCTCCTGGGTCCCTTAGAGTTTAGGAGACGCAGCCTGAGGGAAGAAGGGAAGGGGAGGGCTGTCGTGCTCCTGGGAAGGCGAGCTTGCTGGGGCCTCCTGTTTCAGGGTCTTAAAGGTTAGGTGCCACGACCTACATGGCTAGTCGAACCAGACCCGAGGAGGGGTGACTGGAGACTGAGAAAAACACAGAGACTAAGAAAGACACAGTCATTCTATTTTTTTTTTTTTTTATCCTCACCCGAGGACATTTTTCGATATTTTGTTCAGATAGAGTGAGAGGGAGAGAGAGAGAGAGAAACATCGACGTGAGAGCGACACATCGAGTGGTTGCCACCCACACGACCCAACCAGGGCTGGGGACAAACTGCAACCAAGGTACGTGCCCTTAGCGGGAACCGAACCCGGGTCTCTCCGGACCGCAGGCTGACGCTCTAACCGCTGAGCCAAACCAGCCAGGGCGACATAGTCATTCTAGAGAGAAAAGCTAGGGCCAGGTGGGACACTGCTCTCTGATGGAGAAACAGTGACTCCGAACTAGCTCAGCAAGTTTATTATATAGCCAATTGAAGTGGGAGTGCAGGGGGAGTTCAAAAGCTTCATTGTTTTCAAACACCAAATGTTTCCCTCCGCCTCTGAGCTCAAGGTCCAGCCTGTCAATACATTCTTGCCGGCAGCTCAGGACACTCCTGTGTGGGCCTGGCCGGCACACAGGAAGGACCAGAGACCTTGGGCAGAATGTTCCTGCGTGGGCCTTGCCAGCACGCAGGATCGACAAGTGGCCTTGGGACTAAAGGCTCCTGGGCAAGTCCGTGCAAACACCACAGGAACAAGAGACCTTGGCTTGGCCGCCCTCTACAGTTAGGCATTTAGGGGAGGAGCAATAAAATATTCATCAACTTTATGCTGATGTACCCAAATAAAATTTAGCCCTGGTCTGTTTGGCTCAGCGGTTAGAGCGTTGGCCCACAGACCAGAGAGTCCCAGGTTTGGATGCCACTAATGGCACATACCTCGGTTGCAGTTTGTCCTTGCCCCGGTTGGGGTCATATGGGTGGCAACCAGTCAATGTGTCTCTCTCGTGTCATTGTTTCTCTCTCTTTCTCCCTCTCTCTATCTATCTGAGGATGAGTGCAAAAATGTCCTTGGGTGAGGATAAAAAAAAAATAACAACAAAAGCCAAAATGAAATTTGTTCTTTTCTTGGGTGTAGTTGGCAACTAATTAGATTTTTGTCTCCCTGGGTAGGGTTATTGAAGCTATTTACCCTCTGGTTGGGGAGGGGAAGTGCAAACCATTTACTCTTAATTGTCCTAGGGAAGATGAGATGGCTCCACACTGCTGTTTAACTATCTGTCTCAGTTTCCCTATTCTGGTTGTCCTGGAATTTTCCTAGCTTCTTACTGTCTTATAACATTATTACAAAGAACACTCTAGTGAACACCTATGTAATGTCTGTACACTTGTGCAAGTGTTTTTCCAGGAAGGGGCCTAGAAGTGAAATTTCTGGGGCCTAAGTTATGTGACTTACAAATTTTACTACACTTTCAAATTACCCTTCCTGGTGGCTATACATTTAAACTTACATCAGTAGTCTGTGCTTCTCTTGTTTTTTTGGTCAAGAGGTTTTTAATTACTGATATAGTCATCTATCACTCTTTTCCTTTTTTTTTCCTCCTTAAGAAATTCTTGCTTACCCCAGGGTTTTCTCTCTCTCTCTCTTTTTTTTAAAACTTGTTTTTATTGTTGAATGTATTATAGATGTCCTTCCTTCCCTCCCCCCTTGACCTCCTCCTCCTCACTCCCACCGCCTCCTGTCTTCCCCACATTATTGTCTGTGTTTACTGGTTATGAATATAAGCTTTTTGGTTTCTCTCTTTTCGCCACACCTCCCCCCTTTCCTTTTAGTTTAGTCAGTCTGACAACCAATTTGTACTTCTTAATCACTTCATCTTTTTCACCCTTCCTCCCAAACCCCCTCCCATCTGGCAACCAACAAAAAGTTATCTATATCTATGAGTCTGTTTCTGTTCTGCTTGCTCATTTTGTTTGTAGATTCAGTTGTTGATATATTTATTGCCATTTTATTGTTCACATTTTTATTATCTTCTTCAAGAAAACCCATCAACATTTCATATAATACAGGTTTGGTGGTGATGAACTCCTTTAGCTTTTTCTTGTCTGGGAAACTCTTTATATGTCAATCAATTCAAAATGATAGCTTTGCAGCATAGAGTAATCTTGGTTGTAGGTCCTTGCTTTTCATCACTTTAAATATTTCTTGCCACTCCTTTCTGGCCTGCAAAGTTTCTTTTGAGAAATCAGCTGACAGTCTTATGGGAGCTCCGTTGTAGGTAACTAACTGTTTTTCTCTTGCTGCTTTTAAGATTCTCTTTTTGTCTTTAACCTTTTGCAAGTTGATGATGATGTGTCTTGGTGGGGACCTCTTTGAGTTCATCTTGTTTGGGACTTTATGTGCTTCCTGAACTTGTATGTCTGTTTCCTTCACCAAGTTTGGGAAGTTTTCTGGCATTTTTTCAAATAGGTTTTCATTTTCTTGCCTTCTATTCTCCTTCTAGAGCTCCCATGATGCGAATGTTGGTATGCTTGAAGTTGTCCCACAGGCTCTTTACACTGTCCTCATTTTATTTGGATTCTTCTTTTCCTTTTTGCTGTTCTAATTGGGTGTTTTTTGCTTCCTTATATTCCAAATCAATGGTTTGCTTCTTGGCTTCATCTATTCTACTGTTGATTCCCTGTAAATTATTCTTTATTTCAATTAGTACATCCTTAATTTCTGATTGTCCTTTATTATGTTCTTGAGGTCCTCACTAAGTTCATTGAGCGTCCTTATAAGTAGTGTTTTGTACTCTGCATCTGATTGATTGCTTATCTCCATTTTGTTTAGTTCTTTTCCTGGAGTTTTGTTCTGTTCTTTCATTTGGGACATGTTTCTTTGTCTCCTCATTTTGGCAGCCTCCCTGTGTTTGTTTCTATGTATTAGGTAGAGTTGCTATGTTTCCTAATCTTCCTAGGGTGGCCTGTTGTAGTAGGTGTACTCTAGGGTCCAGTGACACAGCCTCCCTGGTCACCCACTGGGACTTCAAGGTACACCCCTCTGGTGGGACTTTAAACCCTTCTGTTGTAACTGAGTCTTGATTGCTGCTTGGCACATCAATGGGAGGGTTTTACTCAGGCTGATCAGCTGCAAGGACTGGCTGTGCCCACTAACCACTGACCTCTGACTAGGCCAGCTGTGCAGGGGCCCACCACACAGAGCAAGACTTACTTCAGCAGGGCTCTGGTACCCACTTAGTTCATTTCTTGAGTGTGTCACTTGTGGAAGTGGTTGGGTGGTGGTGCTTTGGTGTGGTCTGTAGCTGTCCACCGGGTGTGCTGGCTCTGGGGCAAGTTTAGCACTGCCTGTGTTCAACCCTGGGGCCACCCAGCATAAGCCACACAGCCATCTGCCAATGACTGCTTCTTGTGTTGGGCTTGGAGGTGCCCAGGCAAAGCCAAGCTGTGAACCAAGGCTGGCTGCTTCTAGTGCCAGGCCTGGGACCACTTAGTGAGAGGTATGGGGCTTGCTGTGGCCAGAGATGCTGCTTGTTTGAGAGAATTTAAGAAAATGTGAAGCGCCCTGGCCGGTTTGGCTCAGCAGTTGGAGCGTCGGTTCGCGGTCTGGAGAGACCCGGGTTTGGTTCCTGCTAAGGGCACGTACCTTGGTTGCAGTTTGTCCCCAGCCCCAGTTGGGGTTGTGTGGGTGGTGATTACTCGATGTGTCTCTCTCACACTGATGTTTCTCTCTCTCTCCCTCTTGCCCTATGAATGCAAAATGTGTCCTCAGGTGAGGATTAAAAAAAAAAAAAAAGAAAAGAATGTGAAGCAGGAGCCAAAACAGGCCTCAGGGAATCACCAGGGCAGGGCAAACAGTGTGAGCCAGGTTGCTGGAGTCCCAGATATGGCGCCCATCTAGTGGAAAGGCTTACCAAAGGAACAACGGCCTTCGCCAGCATGTCTGTCTAGGAGAAAGCCGCCTCTCCCATCCTCACCTTAATGCCAAACAACTCAGTTCTTCTCTGTATGTCTCTGGTGCCTTTTAAGCTGCCTCCCCTCTGCGTTGCAGCTCAGAGGGAGCTTATCCCAGTAAGTCCATGCTCGGCCCCTTTAAGAGGAACTGCCTGGGGCTCCAGAAGCCTCAGCCTCCCTCAGCCTCAGTTCCCACTGGTTTTACAGCCAGAAGTTATAGGGACTTCTCTTCCTGGCACTGGAACCCTGAACTGGGGGC